CTAGGGATTAATCATAGATTAATCGGGACCTAGTCGGGATTTTTACAACACTGTATAGCCCTATTACCCTACGCCATCCTCTTTTCCATCCTTTTTTTGATTGAATTAAAACAAATGTAGATCTATGCAAAGTTGTGGTTTGATTAGGGTTTACAATAACAAAATTCCTAACTATATTTTCCTGGATTGGATCTCAACAACTCAAGCCCATAATCCCATACTATTGCATAATGGTTACTCAATTTTCCATCTATTCCTGCACCTTGCTCTATAACCCTTTGACCATGAAACCTTGTAATGAAATTTACTTTGTATAATAGCATGCATTTCCTTGCATTTTAGGTTTGGTTTCTTGATCAAATCCTTCACAAATTACCGTGCTAACTAGGTTGGATTCATTAGATTTGAATTATTAAAATTCCTAACACATGTATGAAGATCAACAAGCTTTTTTACTTGGAATGATCTCTCAATATTCATCTAGGAGGCTCTAACCATGAAAGAACATTAATGTTTTTTTGGGATCACTGGCACATTAGCCACTAGTCTAACACCATCACACTTCTTGAAACAAATCTTATAACCCTTACTTATGGAATAAATGGTTAAACACAATTTTAAATCGATGTGGGAATTCATACATCTCTCCATGCACTGGTTTCATTACGTTCCATTTCAACTTGGTATTACGGGTGGAATAGTCAAATTGATCATCAGTATCGGTATCAGTTTATTCCCCATTCTATACGTCTTTGTCTTCTTGTTCAACGTCCCCATCTATGATCTCCTCATCTTTGTCAGATAATAAAGTTTCTTCACCATTTTCTTTAGATAGAGTTTTAAGAAACTTGTTTCTGGAAATTGGTTTCCTTATAAAATATTTATCAAATTTAACATTGATGGTGTCCAAATCATGAAGCTCTTCTATTGTCTACACGTATCGGAAGATTCACCATTAACAGTAAAAATAGAACACAAATATGAAGATAACGTAACGAAATAACTTCTCATTATCTGAACTCATGTGATTATGGAACAGTGGCTAGGACTTCAACAACGGTAAAAACCACTGTTTAAGGAGATGGACGAAACAAGAGAGGAAGCAAGTTAATTTAATGTGAGAAATGGGGAGTAAAAACTCTAAATTAATGAGGTTGCTTTAACTCAACATCCACCTAATCCACCTCACTTACTCTTGGCTTCATCATCATATGAAACCGGCTAGAAGGGGGTTAGCGGAAGAAAAATGGTTAATTTGAATAAAATTATCATTTTCTTAGTTTTTATATACAAAAAATTGGGATATAATCATAATTTTTTTTAAATATTGAGACTTTTATAAAGTAAACTCATCTACTCTAATAAATAAAAATCTTGCTTGCCACATGTCACACTCTTATTCATTTTTCCATATATCATTTTGTGGTTATTTTAAATTTAATTTTTTTTCCATATGTCATTTTATGGTTTTTTTTATTTTATTAAATTTCACATAGTATTTAAATGTAATAATTGTAATAAAATTAATAATAATTTGCTATCAATTTAACTAATGCAAATTTTCTTTACTTTTAGAATTTCTAAATTAAAGCCAATTATTTCTTTTGTTTATTTATTTAAATTATTTTTTAAAATTTAAAACAAAAATAAGTATTTCAATTTCAATAATTCAATATTTTTCTTACTTTCATTATAAATTCAAAGTTTCTAAATGTTAGACTTTTATATTTAGTGTTTTTAATAAACCTGTATAAGACATGCATCTCATAACTAGTATTTTAACAAATAAAATTAAATTGAAATAAAATTAAATAGATATCGGTTATTATACGATGATGAAGCCAAGAGTAAGTGAGGTGGATTTCAATTGCAGTGACATTACGGAATGGTTTGGTAGAGTTGATAGCGGTGACATTGCGGAATTCAATTTCGATAGAATTGCTTGGATAAAAATTTCGGGCCTCCCACCGAAATTATGGTCTGAGGAAAAATTCACGTCAATTGCGGAGTCCTTTGGTCAGGTGGTTATTCCATTTGTGGTGGATCAATCAGCTGTGAATCCCTCCTTTGGTAAAGTTGGCATTATAACATCTGCATTATCGAGTATCTCTAGAGAACCTTTGGTGGGAAGCTAATGGAAAAATCATAAAAAATGGAATATAAGAAGTAGATATTAACTGGGCTCCATTTAAGTCATAAAGATATGCAATGGATGAGAATTCATCATCCGATGACGATGGGGACGACGACGATGAAGATGATGGGGAGGATGATATTTCTGATACCATTCCTGTTGGGGATAATGACGTATGGTTGGAGGATGGTGAGATTAGATCCACCGATGTTGAAGCGGTCAAGGAATCAAACTTGGAGAACTCGACATCAAATACATCCAACAACGCCCGGTCCCCGGAGGTGACGTCGTCACCGGCAGACGTAGTAATGGACGATGATGACCGGGGAGACGGAAGTGACATATATGAGGAACTCCAAGGGTCGGGTGTTGGAATTGGTGTGCATGGGAAATCACAGGAGGAGATCGAAATTCTTTACAATAATGAGGGTATTAATGTTGTGTTGCACGCAGACCTAATTAATGAATTCTCTTTTACTGGTGCGAAGAATGTGAATGTGGGACCGGGGGAAATGTCAAATAGGCTTCTGGATAACCTGGATAAGTCCGGTTGATTTGGGCCCTTCCCAAACAACTTGGGTTTAAATGATAATCAGGTGCGTGGGCCTGATTTGAACTTCGATAATTCCCATGATAAAAGAAGAAGAGTCTTGAGGAATGTCATTGTTGCTCCCATTGATTTTCCAGACTCTCCTACGCCTCAGGTTTCCATTGATATCAATAGATTCTCGATCCCTTCCCAAGTACCTGGACATAGATGTTGATTCCCCATCCTCCTCGTCGGAAATTAGAAACACGGTTAAGGTAGGCAACATGTTGGGTTTTGAGGTTGATTTCGATAACCCGGATCTCAAGGAAGTCTTTGGCGATAATGGCAAGAATCAGATCCTCCAATGAATATTATGACTCTAAACATTAGAGGTTTAGGAGAGAAACATAAGGTTGACTGAGTTCGTAGGATTCGAAGTGGGCATAATTTATGTATGATTGGTATTCAAGAGTCCAAATTGGGAGAGTCTTCTCCGCCTCTCAATGTTGCGAGCTGTTGGGGTGATCTTGATTGTAGATTTGAGCAGGTTTTCACCATTGGAAGATCCGGTGGTCTTGTGTCTATATGGGACAGTAAAATGTTTTCGTTAGTTGAGACTATTAAATCCATGTACTTCATTGTGACACTGGGTAATTTTGTTGGCATTAATTGTCTCACTGGCATTGTAAACATCTATGGTCCTCAATCGACATATGATAAATCAAAATTATAGGATGAGTTGTTAACATTGAAAATATCTATATCAGCTACTTGGATTTTTACGGGTGACTTTAATGTGGTTTGCCGGCCGGAAGAGCTTATAAATTCTGTCTTTTGCCCACTTAGTGCAAATGCTTTTAATTAATTCATTCGAAATGGTGAACTCACTGATTTGAAGATGGGGGGGGGTCAAAGATTCACCTTTTTTAAAACTCAGGGGGCGAAATTAAGTAAGTTAGATCGATTTTTGGTGTGTAATCGTTTCTTGTCTGTGTATCCCCTTGCCACCTGCTTTGCGATGGACAGAGATCTCTCTGATCATTCTCCTATTATCTTGAGGGCTCGGTGCGATGATTTTGGTCCCCCTCCCCCACGTTCAAGTTGTATAACTCATGGATGTTTAAGGATGGTTTTGATGCGGTCATTAGGAAGGCATGGTCTGATTTTGTGGGGTACGGTACTCCTGATGCGTACCTCCTGAATAAATTAAAACACTTAAAAAAAGCTATCAGATTTTGGAAAGAAAATGCAGCGAAGGACAATAAGAAGGAATTGGAAACTTTGAAAAAGAATGGTTGAGATCGAATTGGCGGTAGAATCCAGGCCTTTAACACCAAGCGAAAATTGAATAAAGATCAACCGGAGGAGTTAAGATTGCCGAACAAGCCAGAACCATCGCTTTGGATGTGAAGCAAAGAGCTAAACTAAAATGGGAGGTGGAGGGAGATGAAAATACGTGTTTTTTCCATGGTTATGTTAATAACAGGAATCGGAAAAATCACATTCATAGGATTATGGAAAATGAAGTTTGGACTACTGATCCGTCCGAGATAAAACATGAGGCAGCTAAATTTTTTGATGAGAAATACAGAGAAGGTTGGCCGAACAGACCCTTGTTTCGCAGTTCAGGCTTTCGCAAGCTTTTTGAAACTGATGCTTTCTTTCTGGAAAGGGATTTTCCAATTGAAGAAATAAAAAATGCAGTTTGGTTGTGTGGTGGGGGTAACGCTTCTGGGCCTGATGGTTTCACTTTTAATTTTTTCAAAAATACTAGGATTTGTTAAAAGATGATATTGTGGGGTTGGTTAAGTACTTTGAAGTGGGAGGCAAGCTTACTAGAGGATGCAATTCTTCATTTATTTCTCTTGCTGACAAGTCTAAAGACCCAATTCACTTTGGGGATTTTAGACCTATAAGCTTGATCGAAACTCTACATAAAATCATCGTAAAGTTGTCGGCGCTTAGACTAAAGAGGGTCATTGGTAGTGTTATTGATGAGGTTTAATCTGCTTATGTCAAGGGAAGGAATATTTAGGGTCTGATGGTGGTTAATGAGCTTTGCTCTTGGGCAAAAGCTAAAGGTAGAATGATGCTCCTTTTCAAGGTGGATTTTAACAAAGCTTTTGATTTCGTGAATTGGGTATTTGAAACATCCCAAAATACGACCCCAAAATTTTTTGTTTTAATATTACTAAAATCACATCATCCAATGTCATACATACTAAGAACCATAGAGTGAGTAACTCAAAAGTCAAGTAATTGTGTCAAAACAAATACTGTATCAATCATATCGAAATATCTGAATAAAACTCCCAGGATAAAACTGAAGCTGTGGTATGTGCCATGCCATCATCCCGAGCTCTTCCCCTTACTTGCGGAAGTACCTGAAGCCAAAAACTGAAACTGTAAGCACAAAGCTTAGTGAGTTCCCCGAACTACCACATACCATACAATGACATGTAAGCAAATACTGGGCCCCGCCCACTGCATCGGGCCCCGCCCGGCATCGGACTGAAATCTGGAACTAGCTTTGGGCCCCGCCCACTTCATCGGGCCCCGCCCGGCATCGGACCGAAGTCCGGAACTAACCTGGGCCCCGCCCACTACATCGGGCCCCGCCCGGCATCGGACCGAAGTCCGGAACTAGCTTGGGCCCCACCCACTACATCGGGCCCCGCCCGGCATCGGACCGAAGTCCGGAACTAACTGAGCATATCATAGCATAATCATAACTACTGGCATAAACACATATACTGCATACTGCATCGGACCGAAGTCCGGAACTCATATCACAAAAACATGCTTGAATCACAAAGACATCAAGCACACTGAACTACTGCATCAGACCGAGGTCTGGAACTACTGCTAACTAAACGGGCTGGCATTATGGTCGTAGACCCGTTCCTACTGGAAGGAAACTCACCTCGTAAGCTGGATGCTGAAAAAAGCTACTCGGGAACTGTCTGCTACTGCTCCGGTATCTCCCCAGCTACAATTCCCATAAATATACTCAATCAAATACTGATAACTAAACTGGGGGTGAAATGACTATTTTACCCCCGGTCAAAGTCAACTTCCTGGCCAAAGTCAACTTCCTGGTCAAAGTCAACCTCCAGTTGACCGGACTCGCCGAGTTGGGCCGCCAACTCGCCGAGTCCCTTTCATCCGTTCTAGTCCTCTACTCGCTTCTACTCGTCGAGTTTGGCGAAGACTCGACGAGTTCTTCTTCGATACATACATCGAGTCTAACTTCATCCGACTCGCCGAGTTGTATGAACACTCGTCGAGCCTGAAGAACAACTCGCCGCGTTGAAGAACAACTCGCCGAGTCCCAAGCATGCTATTTATGCTATTACTATACAGTCGATTCTAATCGATTTCAGTGCTTCCAAATCATAGATCTAGGCTCTTAGGGTTGGTTTTACACCTAAAGTTTCCAACTTTACGTGCATGCATGAAGAGATGAGGCTAGAACATCAAAATAAGCTAACAATGGGGTCTTAGGGTTTGGAACTCGACCTTGGGTGCATAAAGGCAGCTACTTTGAGCTCCTACAGCTCAAATATACTCAGATCTATGATCCATTTCCTTATAGGAGTCCCAATCTCGAGTTTGGATCCAAAAAGTCCCAAAAAGAAGCACATCTAAGCATACAAGACTATCAAATGGAAATAACAAGCAAGGTACAAGCTTTAGTACCAGAATGTGAGGCTGATGATCAAGAGACTCTGGATCTTCTTCTTCTCCTTTGGATCCTTCCTTCTTTCTTTCTCTTCCAAAACCTCCAAACTAGCACAAACACACTCAAGCTCAACAATGGGGGCTAGGGTTTACAGGGGAAATGCTCTAAAGGGGCTGGAGGCTGGGGTGGGAGGCTATAATGACGTTTATATAGGGTACAAACCCTTGAAATTAGGGCTTCATCCAGACAGGCAGACTCGCCGAGTCCTTTCATATTGACTCGCCGAGTAGCCAACTTAAAATGCGTGAACATCCCGTCTCTACTCGACGAGTTGGGCTACAGACTCGTCGAGTATCCCTTAAGAAAATGAAAATTACTTTATTTAAATCACATACCAGAAATGGGGCGTTACAACTCTCCCCCACTTATCTTAGACTTCGTCCTCGAAGTCTGCTGCTACTGGATCTATAAACAACTATGGATAATGCTCCCTCATTTCCTCCTCGGCCTCTTATGTCCATTCTGAACCCTTTCGGTGCTGCCACTGCACCTTCACTAGCTGGACTACCTTGTTCCTTAGAGTCTTCGTTTTCCGATCCAAGATCGCAACTGGTCTCTCGATATAATTCAGGCTGCTATCAACCTGGATATCCTCCAAGGGTACAACCGCTGACTCTTCCACCAAACACTTCCTCAACTGAGAAACATGGAAAGTGTTGTGGATCTGGCTAAGCTCTGCTGGAAGATCCAACCGATAGGCGACCCGATCTACTCGGGCCAAAACCCTAAAAGGGCCAATGAACCTGGGGCCCAACTTGCCCCTCTTTCGGAACCTGATAACACCCTTCCAGGGTGATACCTTCAGGAGGACCATATCGCCCACCTGAAACTCCAAATCTGAACGCCTCCTGTCGGCGTAACTCTTCTGCCGACTCTGCGCAGTCTGCAGTCTGCTACGGACCTGTTGGATCAACTCTGTGGTCTTGAGTACCACATCTGTACTCCCCATGACTCGCTGACCGACCTCACCCCAACAGATTGGGGTCCTGCACTTCCTCCCTTAGAGCATCTCGAAGGGAGGTCGGTCTATACTGGAGTGGTAGCTGTTGTTATACGAAAACTCCGCTAACGGAAGATACGTATCCCAACTGCCACCGAAATCTAGTACACATGCCCGAAGCATGTCCTCGAGGGTCTGAATCGTCCTCTCGCTCTGTCCATCCGTCTGAGGGTGGAAAGCGGTGCTGAAGTGGAGACGAGTACCCATCTCGTCATGAAACCGCTTCCAAAATCTGGAAGTAAACCGGACATCTCGGTCTGACACCACCGAGACAGACACTCCA